ACCTTTGGAGAAGAGAGGAAATCTGGATTCACGAGGAATGTTTAACCTCAGGGAGAGTGGCTGAAGATGGTGCTGGAGAGGGTCTGGAACTGTGAGTGATTTCCATCAAGATCAAGAGCTTGAATTTTATTTTTTTAATAGGCAAGAGGAGTTTTCATGCTGGAGAACGACATGCTGATTTTAAAAGAAGGTTCTAGGTGTAAGAATGGGCAGAGATGTGCTAAGGAGTGTGGGTGGGAGAGACCGATGAGCCAGACCCACCCATGTGGTGGTGAGTGACAATGCCTGGATAGTGTCAGGATAACTCCAGTCTCCCCTCAGGAGGGACTGGCCCAGGGCTGCTGTTAGACTGCAGTGTCTTCCTGCAAAGCAGGAAAAAGCTCCTTTTCCTCCAGACAGAATAGCCCCAAGCCAGGGTGCACGCTTGATTTGGCAAATGGAGCACAGGCTCAGTTTTGGCCTCCGCTGGCCCCTTGGTTGGGCAGCCTTGTGCACTGCAGACCCTGCACTCCTTAGGCATTGCCTGAGCTGCAGCTTCCCCTAGCGCATGGATGGAGAGATGCGCTGCAGGGGCCAAAGATAGCATGTGTGCATGGCGTGGCTGCCCCTCTATCAGAGGACAACTGCGGGGTATGTGGGTTCAGGGCAGGAGCTCTGATAAACCCACAAACATGGCTTCATGATCCTCGGCAAGTTAACCCCTTTAAGCCTCAATTTCCTCATCTGTTAAATGGGGATGATAAAAAGTATCTACTTCATTGTGTTGTTGTGAGAATTACACGAGATAATGCGTGCAAAGCACTTAGTTCAGTAAGCTATAGTACACACTCAACACACGTTAGCTGTTAATATTTCTACTACTAATGGTAATATATGACAGAGCCCATCTCAGCCTGGGAAAGGGTATTGGCTGCACATGCACCAAGTTGGCTCTCCTCTCTTCCTTAGCCCCCTCTGTCCCAAACCTCAGTGGGAAGAGGACTGGCATCTAGAGATGGACAGCAGTGATGGGAACTGGATAAATCACTACCTCACAGAGGTCAGCTCTGTCTACTAACCTCGTGACTAACCTGGTGACATGTGTTCATGGCTCAGGGCTACTGGAGGAAGCCCCGAAAACGTGCGTCATATGGGCAGCTGGTGTTTCCTCCCCCTCCCCCACCCAGCCTCATTTTTCTCCAAACCAATTTCCTTTCTGCTCAGTCTGCTCTTCCTTTTCCACTCCATCCCACTACTCCTGCTCCTCCTCTTGCCCTCTCCCTGGAGGGAAGGTTTATTTGTCCAGGACTTTTGCCCCTTGCTCTCTGGAAGTCTTTGGGAAGTGGGAGAAGTGAGAAGGCCATCTGGGCAGAGAAACATTCAGCACAGGTGGCCTTGTCTGCTGGACAAGGTGGGGCGAGGCTTTCTGGGCAGCTGTAGTGCCATGCCAAGTTGTTGAGCAGCTGGGGACAGAGAGAAGAAGGTGAGAGGAGCAGCGGGAGGACCTGTGCTTCCAGGTCCACCTAGGGAGAGACCAAGCTGGGGTTGAGGGATGAGGCAGAGGCCAGCAGGGGAAAGGTGAGTGATCAGTATGGGCTCTTTTGGTGGCATGACATGACATGACCAGGACATGTTAACAGGTTGCAAGAAGAAATGATAGTGCCAGTGGCAGCAATTGTGGAAGGTGGCTAAGTAGACCTAAGTGTCTATGCAGAGGCTACCTCCTCAGGCCTTCCCTCACAGCCGTATCTAAAACACTACCCACAGGCACCAGCAGCCGCCATTCTCTATCTCTTTACCCTGCTTTATTTTTCCTTCATGGCATTTAGCATTATCAATAAATATTGTTATTTATTTGTCATCAGTGCACTTCACTTCTCCAGGAGACTTTGTCTTATATATTGCTCTTATTTTTAGCATCCAGACCAATGCCTGGCACACACACAGTAGGTCCTCAATGAATAACTGTTGAATGTAATCATGAATGGTCACCATCATCCTCATTTAGAGAATCATTGCTCCCTCACCCATAGCTGAACAATTATTGGGTCTCCATTCCAGGGGTTGGTCAGTCACCCTCTGGCCGAGCAGAGTGCCACAGCACTTTGTTTCTCTTTGGAGGGTGCTCAGCAGCTTTGGATTTGAAATGACATTGCAAAGATCCTCTCCTGGGATCGCATGGGCTGTATAGCTGCTGCCTGTTGTCCAACTCCAAGGTCAAGGGCCCTTAGTCTAGGTAGCTAAGTTAACAGGTCCCTACTAAATGTGACTGGGAGGACTGTGTTGGTCATTTAGAAGCTGGGCTCATAAACCAGGAAAGAGAGGCTCTCAGAAGGTTTCCAGAGGTTAGAAGTTGACTTCATATCCTTGGCATAGAAGCAGAGCCAGTTTTTCTGTTATATAATAGAGAGATGCTATGAGGACGGGGAGTAGTCATGTCTCCCCACTGTCTACAGGTGAGAAGACCGACAGATCATGTCATTGTAGATCAGAGCGTAACCAGCTATTGCTGGAGTGGTCAGGACATTGTCCAGATACAAGGCAAAGGAAGGTGCTGTTCTTCACATCCTAGGAAGTGCTTTTCTGCTAAGCACCCCCAATGTAAAGAAGAGAATAAAGTCCTACTTACTAGGTATCTGTGAACCTGGCTACAAGACACCTGGGTGAAAAGTGAAAAAATGCTAGCAATCCCACACGTATTATATATATATATAAAACCAAACATCCACATAACGGCATTTACTCTGAAACCAGAGATTTGGTGTGATACAGACTCATAGTTCATAATATTCTATACATGTGTGTGTGTACATGTAATTTTTAAGTTATTCATGTCTTCTGTTTACAGACAGAATATTTCACATTTTCACACTAGCTGTAGACTTTTGTAGATGACATTCTCCTATTTCAATGGTAGCCCAGGGCTCCATTTTTTTTTCTTGGTTGCAGATGTTATGTCTTGAATCTATGTACTGATTAGTTGTTAAAACTGTAATACACACCTTGTTCTTAATTAAGTGTCCAGAGGGACTGAGAGTCATCATATCAGGGGTCTTCTTTCCACTGCCAATAAGTAGCTATGCGACTCAGTGCACGTCAGACCTTGGGCCTCAGTTTCCCAACTCTGATTTGAAAAGAGTGGGTTAAAGAGTTACAAGGTTTACTTTTAGAGCAAAAGAATTTAAGATTCAAGTAATATTTTATATAAACATTATACTTCTTTTCCCCATTAAGAGTAGCATAATCTATGTCACAATCATACGCAGGGCATCTACTTATAGACTGAACAATTCCAAGTTTAAAAAGAGCATCAAATATCTAATACATAAATATGTTTATGTTAAGATTGTGTTTTGTTTACTAGTTCCTTTCTAAAGAATTGAGTCCATTAAGATATTCTGTGCTCAGCCAGCATGTTCATTATTTTTAGATAGTACGCTTAAAATAAAGGAAAGAAATTTATTTGATACCTTTATTTATATGCAAAACAGCGCACCATTCATGAGATATGAAAAACTCGTCAGATAGAAACCAGATTATATCTATATTCACTACAAAATATTGCATTATATAAAGCAACAGAGACACAAAAAAACCCTGAAAAAGACTAAAATCTTTGGATAGCAGATGTGTTTTTTTCCCTTGTCTCTAAAATACACTCCTTGTTTTTTAAGAGTTTCACAGCTGAGAATATGAAACATTTTCAGGTCACAGACTTTTCTTTTTGGTTGTCACAGAGGAAAGTAGTTCTGAATTTTTTTTTTTTTTTTAGGAAAATAACTTAATTTCCTAAAATCATCCCACACACAAACATCACACACACACACACAAAGAAGCTACTCTCCTTATAAACAGTTCGTAAAGTACTTTTCAGACATAACTACAGATAAGAATAACACACTCTTTTAGAAAACTATAATAGTGAAGTGCTAGTGTTGCCGATCTCACAACAAAAGAACTTTTCAAGAACCAACATCTTAATATATAAAATATGTTTAGAAACAGGGGGACGTGGGAAATTTGTTATACAAGTGCAATATAATTAGAGCAAAAAGAAAGACCACAGTGTAATCTCAACAAACACGTAAAAAGTTAGACGTAATTATTCCACAGGAAAAAGTGTAAACACTTGACTATAAATAAATTGGCACAGAGTATCCAAAGTAAAATTGTCACCACTCTGAAAAATAAATGTCTTGAAAAAAATACTCTACTCCTTCTAACATAAATAAAAATAGGTCGTCTTTTTCTAACTGCACCTATAGGTCCACGTATTTAAGGTCACAAATAGATGTTTTTGGATATATAAAGGGGCACTTCGCCTGAAAAAGCAATCAGATATTAAAATTTCCATTCAAATATGGATTTTCCTGTCTACATTAGTGTCATACCTTGGGGTTAAAATCTCACGAAGCTCAGATCCTCCCACAGTGTGTCTACTTGTTCTCAGTGTGTCTTTTTAACTTTACTAGATATTCAGGGTTTGTCTTATTTGGAGTCTAATATAATCTTTCTTTTCACTATGGAACGGAGAGTTTCCTGGTGCACCTTTCTGTGCCTTAAATCTCTTGTTTGGAAGAGATTCTTTCCTCTCCTCTTCTCCCCAATGTTTGATGATTTGTCAACTGGAAAAATCCCAGATGGTCTAAAGTTTAGAGCCTATACTCCGACTGTCTGCCCTCACTCTCACAAAACATGAAGATGTGCGGGAGATAAATATAGGAGAACTCAAAGTCTCCAGTGGGTTAAAGCAACAGCCCTTAAAGGGTCCTAACACAGCGAGGGGAGGCCCGGAGGCGGCTCATCTCCGGTGCCTCCAGGAGGTTCTCCTGGCCCTGAAAATCCTCAGGGCGAGCGCCAGGGCCCGCCAGAAAACCCCGCCGCCCAGCCTCGGAAACCTTCCCTCGTCGCCCTGCTGACCAGAGAAAACAGGTTGCGAGCTGCTTCCCCCGTCCAGGTGCCTCGCGGCGGCCGCGTTTCGGGAACGCGGGGACAGGCAGCCTCCCGCGGCGGCCCCCGCCCTACACGTCCAGGACGTGGTTGAGATAGGAGATGTAGCAGATGGCCAGGCGCAGGATCTCGATCTTGGAGAGCTTCTTGTCGGGGGGCAGCGTGGGCAGCAGTTTGCGGAGCTCGGCGAAGGCCAGGTTGAAGGCCTCCACGCGGATGCGCTCGCGGGTGGCGTGGGCCGAGCGGTACTTGGCCGTGGCGCGCCGGCGGCGGCGCTTCTCCTCGCGGCTCAGCTGCTGCGGGTGCGGGTAGAGCGCGGCCCGGCCGCCGCCCTTGCCGTCGCCTTCGGCCTCCTCCACCGGCTCCAGGTCCGACACGCTGCCCAGCACCTTGGCGTCCGCGCCGCCCAGCGACTCCGGGTCCGAGTGCGCCGAGCTGGGGTGGTCCGAGTCGGCGGCTTGGTCCGGACTCAGCATCATTTTGGAGGCTGAAAGGGGGTCAGAGAATCAATCAGTAAAAGGAACCAGACTCTTCCTTTGCTCTGAGGAGGGATGGCGGGCGCGGGCCCACCACGCTGGGCCCCAGGGCGCGAGCCCCGCGCCTCCCGATGGCTCCGGAGGCCGCATCCCGGCCCCGACACCTCGGCCGGCAGGAGGCCAAGAGCGGCCTGCGGCCCTGGGCCTGGGGGACTGAGCGTTGGTGCCTCCTCCGGCCAGATACCACCTGCGCCATTCCGTCTCCCTCACCGCGACCCCTTCCCGGACAAGCGGACGACGCGGAACGCCGGATGCATCTGGGTGCGCTTCCCGCCCGAGGGCCTGGCGCGGGCTTGGGGCGGCGCAGGGCGTGCTCCGCGCCGGGGTGCGGGCGGCCGGGAACCCCCCAAGCCCGAGCGCAGGCGGAGAGCTCCCGGCCGGGAGCGGGAAGGCTTGCTCGGCCCCCTCGCGCTTCTCCGAAATAAAGAAATGACCAGACAAACGTGGACGCCCCTTTCAAAAGAAAATTGACTCCTATGCCCTCGCAAGCGCCCGGAGCACCATCTGTCACGCAGACAGCTACACACATCGGGGACCTGGGGACGCGGCGACGTGGGAGAAGACAATGCGCCCGGCAGTCTGCCGACCACCTCGCGGGAAAACGCCGGCGGCCGGGTCGCTGCGGGAGGAGAGGCCGAGAAGGAAGGGAAGGCCCGGGGCGGCGCTCCCGGGACCCGAGCTCGGCAGCCCGCAGCTGTGCCCGGGCGGCCGGGCCACGGCCCAGCGTGTCTGTGCTTAGCTTTCCCCTAACGATGCCCTCCTGGAAAGGCCACCAGGAGGACGCCTGGAGGACGGGCCCCGGCCGCGCGCCTTCTAGGAGGGGGCCGCTCAGAACCGCTGGGCTTCGGGGGAATTCAGGCTTCAAGGAAGGCCGGCAAGAGGGGAAAGGCACCTGCGGTGGCTGCGCTCACCGCCCGCGGGCCCCGGGAGGCACGACCCGGCTGCGAACCCCGGCCCCTGCGTGTGCAGCCCGAGCGACGCTAGGCGCGGGAGAAATCCGCGTCCGCGACGGGTACGAGGGTTTGCTCCTGGAGAAACAAAAGCGAGGGCATGTGCGATCGGTTTCCAGCACCGCACTTGCTCACGGGCGGACTGACCTCCACAACAGCTTTCATTTCCCTGCGAGGAAAACAGGCCCTCTAAGCAAAATAAAAACAAATGTTCTAAGTGAACTGCATGTGACTCCCTACTGGCTTTTCTCGGTACGTTTATAAGTAGAAAAACTTGCACCTACACTGTCAGCTTGAAAGGACAGAAATAAATACGCGAGTAATGGAAAATGACAATAAGCCACAACATAGTTGTAGGTAGGGTAGAAAGTTCCTGGGTTGTCCTCAAAGCATGTTAAATTCTCCAGATACCTTTTTTAAAATATTCATAAATAATTAAGTCTTGTATGCCTTTTATTTCTATAGCTATGGACTGAAATGCATCTCTAAATGCAGTATGAATAATCTAACTTAGTTTCAAGCTGGAAAAAAACGATTTAAAAAAGTCTTACCTTGCAAAAGCCTTTACGACAATCTTTTCTCCAATCTTTTACAGTTAAAATTCCAGGGAATAGCGAGGGGAAATTCCGGAAAATATTAAAAGCAGCAAATATTTATTACATTCAGAAATGAAAAAGCAGCTGTCATTTCGCTGGTGTCCACAGCGAGGGACGATAATATCTAAGGATGTGGACGAGATGAATGATTGTTCACTTAATTGATATATCAAAAACGCCTTTTCCTTTTAATTGTCCTCAAACGTTTTGAGAAATTCGTTGTTGATATTTTTTAACGATTTTTTGAAAAGTCTCGTGCCTTTTTTCCTCTTCTAGGTCTCTATACATAACAAAAGAGATGCAGAGATAAACACAATCACATCAAAGGGCTAGTTCCTCTACTTTCTAATAGCGGCCGTAATCAATAAGAAAGATGGTTAAGATAAGATTCTGCTCCTGTAGGATACCTTCCCTTCCCTTAGCGGGGCTGAGCAGAAACTGGGAAGTGCAAGGCAGAGATGCGATCTTGCTCAGAAGTGATTTTTTTTTTTTTTTTTTTTTTTTTTTCAATCACATCAAAGGGCTAGTTCCTCTACTTTCTAATAGCGGCCGTAATCAATAAGAAAGATGGTTAAGATAAGATTCTGCTCCTGTAGGATACCTTCCCTTCCCTTAGCGGGGCTGAGCAGAAACTGGGAAGTGCAAGGCAGAGATGCGATCTTGCTCAGAAGTGATTTTTTTTTTTTTTTTTTTGAGATAAGGCTTTGTTCAGCTGATGTCTCCCCAGTTCCCAGGAACACAATACTGTAACTCAGAGCTAAGGTTGCCTCTTCCCTCATTTACTTGTATGTTGTATAAACACACCTATTTTCCAGTTTCAAAGTCTGTCAAGGCTTGGTTACACCCCCCCACCCCAATCCCTCCTCTCTTTACCTTGTAGCAAAATATATATAGTCAGTGGCTTGGAGATGCTTGGAGAAAGGTTGGTGAAAAGTGAACGTCTCCTGGAGTAACAGTGAAAGGGAAGCAGAGAAAGACGGAAAGAGGGTTGGAGAGCCAGAGCAAAGAGGCAGAGATGCGTGTGTGGCTTCTTGGCTCTCCTGGTACCAAATGATTCAGCCTGGAGATGGTGGAAGAGATAAAGGCTTAAGAAGGGGGATGGAATTTTTTCCCTCTAAATTGATATTTAATGGGAAATCCTATTGGACAGAAACCTGGACATGAGTCACTTAATTGGACTTGACATCTGTCACAGTGTGGGAGTTTTCACAGCCCAAATATTTTAGCAGATCAGATTCCCACTGAATCTGTGCCATAAAATATAACAGTTGAAAGCAATCCATGATAGAAATCTTAGCCTCTAAACAGAGTCTCTAGCCATAATCAGGCTATTTCTGTTTTTCACATTATTGATGCAGTATTTAAGTGCAAGTAAACAATGTTTTGACTATGGAAAAATTCCCCTGGCATATTACAAAACCAGCATCTTTTCTTAATGTTTAGAATAATATTTGTCTCCAGACCATAGAAATGTATACTATATAAGATGCTGCAATGAATATAAAGTATTCAGATATTCAACAGCTAACATTTATTAGAGACTGTTTACATTTTAAAAGACACTTTAACAAGGTTCGATTAAGCATATTAATGTTTTTGAGAGATACCCTGCTATGAGACTAATTTATCAATAGACGATAAAAAACCTTTTGATAGGTTAATTTGTCATTGGTATTCGGGGACCACTATGTGAGACAATTCTACTTTTTTGAATATGTTTGTTTTTCTCTTTACCCACTCATTCGCTCAAGTTAAAATATAACATTCTACTTGCATTGATTATTGTACTTCATTCTTGCCCATTTTAACACGCGAATACATTTAGCTGTGTGGCAGTGCATTGGGTTAGGCTGTAAACACATACAAATCACCAGTGTATTCCAGCACATAATGCCTTTGCCTTACACGACACTGTGGATCTTAATTTATATGCCTTATAACAAAAAGGAAAATCTAGTTCAATTATTTTGCCACTTCACAAGAGATTCTGTTAGTTACCATCAATTACATATTATTTGCAATCATTTTAGTTTTTTTGATTGTTCAAGCTTAAAATAAATAAAAGATTATTATAGCCTTACTTCCCGCCTCCCCAACCCCTAGGGGAACATTCATGGAGAAAAGAGTCCTCACTTTCCCTCATTTGTCAATTTTGCCTTAAAAGACAGGTTTTATCATCAGTGGAGGGGCATTGAGCAGCCCACCCCTGAGAGTGACCCTTTGGGTTCCTCATGGCTGCCACAAGTACTATTTGCCTTTGCACAAATTTTTCCTCTTCTGACAGATTCCTGCACCAGAATGAGGTGGGGGCAGGAGAGCCTCCACAGAATAGGGAAACCAACATATCTCAGCCTTGCCTCTGCCCAGCCCCAGCACAGTATGTTTTAGATATCCCCAGGACTTTTAAGTGTAGGCAGAAGCCAGCCTCATGCAGGTGGCAATGGAAACAGGTGAGTGGATAAACTCCCCAAGGTGGTGAAGATGAAGGGACAAGGGAGATTTTCTTAGTCTGGTTAGGAGCAGCCAACACTAAGCATTCACATGCAACCAGAGATGTGTACACAGGTGTACACAGACAGATACCTGTACCTCTTCACCCCCATCCCCCCATTACCCATGTGAGCTGGCTGGCTCTATCAGACTGCTACACATTCAGAGTGATGGTCTGAAAACCTGGTAGGTCTAGTCACCAGAGCTCTAGAGTGGACAGCTGCTAGATGGGAAAGGACCAATATCTCTGGTTACCCTGGTGTTTAGGGATTGGAGGGGGGCGAGGGAACATATCAGGGAAGGTTTGATTCTGCTATGGTGTGTGCATGAATCTAGACAAATTCTCTTTTACATTCAGGCTTACTTATTCCACACTGGCAGATGGCATGTATATAAATTAATATTTACATGAGTTAGCCTTTGTAAACAGGTACACAGTCAGATCCATACATAACCATGTGTAGACACACCATCATAGGCACAAACATAGATTTATATGCACACACATGCATTCTGTCCCCAGGAAAGCCCTCCCTCCCCCCTCTTCCTTCAGCTTTTCTAAGTCCACCAGGGCACAGATGGCCCCACCTTCTGTGCCCCATGAGCACTCCTTTCATATGAAGGGAGTTTCCCTTAGAGACTACATGTTGTGTATCGTGGTTCTCGGTTTCCATACCTGTCTCTCTCACTAGACTGTGATGCTTCCAGGGGAGGTCTGTGGTTTATATTCAGCACTGATGTCTGAGCTTGACACATTATAAGTACAGTTCATTTATGGTGAGTGACTCCTGTGTACAGAGGCACCCAGGATATTTGTAACATAGAAACACTTCCACCAAAAGACTCCCATGGTTACAGTTGTATCAATTTTCTCTCCTATAAAAATGAGGATAATAATCCTGCCCTTGTCAGTTCATAAGCTTGGTATGAGACTCAATGTATATGAAAATACTTGATAAAATACCAAGCAACATACAAATTAAGATATTGTGGAGTATAGGAGTAATTAATAATATTGTTATGGCAGCAGGGAGGTGGTAAGCAGTGATTTTAAAAGCCAATCTTCCTGGCTCTGTCATATGCTAGCTGTGTGAATTTATGCTAGCTGTGTGTTACTTAACCTCAATTTTCTAATCTGTAAAATGGGAATAACCAAAGCATGTTAGGTTATATTATTATGTTATGTCATATGTTTTTTTCCAAAGGCGAAGAAGATAATCTATGTAAAGTGCTTTAACTAATGCCTAGACCTGGCGCTCAATAAATGCTGACTATTAGTATTGTTAATAATAATGTTAGTATTAAATATAAGTACATATTGAGAATAAGATAAATATTTACCTAGAAATATAAACACATCCAGATATACTCACTCCCACTGCATGTGTGTGTTTGTGTGTGTGTGCGTGTGTGTGTATCCATAGCTCTGGTGGCTGAACTACAGTGAGCACTTTCCGTGTGTCAGACATAGATCTAAGGACTTTGCACATATTAGCTCACTTAATGTGCACCACAACCTATGAGATAGGTACTGTTGCTGTCCCAATTTTGCATATAAGGAAACTGGGACAGGGAAAAGATGGTAATTGATTCAAAGTCACATAGCTAATAATTATGGGCCTAGATTTAAACTCAAGAGATCTAAATTCAGAAACTACACTCTCAACCACGATGTCCTACTGCTTCTGTATCATTGTATCCTATACAAGTGTACCTATGCACAAGAATTATTCACCAAATAAGGGGGGAAGGGGAGAGGGAAGGGAAGAGATTGGATAAGGGGCATAAAGAATAAGTATAATTTGTAACAATGAATATGCTAATAAAAAATTTTTTAAAAATTATTCACCAAATAAGGGGGGAAGGGGAGAGGGAAGGGAAGAGATTGGATAAGGGGCATAAAGAATAAGTATAATTTGTAACAATGAATATGCTAATAAAAAATTTTTTAAAAATTATTCACCAAATGAAATGAGTATGCTGAGGGAGATATATACATACACACAAAACGTAGATAAATGGCCACCTTTGGCATTCAAGGTGGTCAGTGAGTCAGTACAGTTTTAAATGTTTGCTATGCTTCTAGTATTGTGCCAGACATTGTGGACTAAAAAGGCTTTATAATTGTTTGTTAATTCCATTAGACAGCTGTTTCCAATCTATTTTCTTAAATTTTGGACCCCATGAGTAAAAATTTTGAGCATACATATTCATAATATATATATTTATTATTAATAAACTTTATATATGTACTATTGTACTAGCCTATTATGTAATTATAAAGCATACACAAAAAGACATTTTCAAAGGATGATAAACAAAATGAAGATTTATAAAATAGTTAATTTTACTTATTAATGGCTCAAAAAGCTATTAATGGCACAAGATTTTCCTGATATATAATTTTTCAGAGCAATAGGCTTAATTTTGTTAAAGTCATTGTTTAACCCTTTGAGGTAACATGATTTGATGGTTTTGTTTTAAGCTCAATTTATTTAGAATCTGGTTTTTATGGCTGACACAGCAGAAAAAGATGTAATACAAAAATTCAAATATAATCACAAAAAATAAGCATGTGAAGTGATGGATATGTTAATTAGCTTGAGTTAATCATTCTACATTGTATGCATATCTCAAACATAATCTCAAATTTTTCATTTGTCAGTTAAAAACATAATAATAATAATGGTAAAGTGGAATCAATCCAAAGGTCCATCATCTGATGAATGGATAAGCAGAATGTGATATATCCATAGGATGGAATACTTTTTGGCAATAAAAAGGAACAAAGCACTGATACGTGCTGCAACGTGGATGAACCCCAAAAACATTGTGCTGAGTGGAAGAAGCCAGACACAAAAGACCACATATTGCATCATTCTATCATATGAAAGTTCTAGAACAGGCAAATCTATAGAGGTAGAAAGTAGATTAGTGCTTACACAGGGCTAAGGTAGGGGGAGTGGGGAAGTGACTGCTAATGGGCAC